GGTGACGACGAGGAGTCATCTGATGTGCCGGCCCGCCTCTCGAGATCCTCCAGACGCTTCTTAAGCTTCTTCCCTGCAGCGCGAGTGTTAGCATCTAGCTGTTACCAACTATCGCGAGTCCCGTTGTGATGACATACTGTAGTTGCGCTGAGCAATGCGGTTCTGAATTCTCCTGCGCTCAGCCAGATCTGAGATCTTTGTCCAGTCCTCATCAGGGTTTGCCGAGCTGCTGAAAGCACTGCTTGTTCCGTGGCCGGAATACTGACGGGGCGGTTGGGGTTGGTGCGCCTGGTAGGCGTAGTGGTGTTGTTGCTGCATGGAGAACATGGCTGATGATGGGTATGGTTCAAGCCCTCGACTCTGAAGATATACAGACATGTGCGTGTGTGTTGCAGATGGTCAAGATGGTAGAGGTGGGAGGCACTGTGGTGGGATAGCAACTCGAAGAGGGAAGGGGGAGGAGGCTATCGTGTTATATATCCAAATCGCCGAAGAGAAGGGTGTGAATGAGAGGTACGGAGTTACTTGGTGTTACATACATCTTGTACCCATTCCAAACACAGCCCCGTGGTGTGTAGATGGTACTTCCTGGGTGCTTTTGGCAGTCTGCTTCTTCCTTCTCGTCGAACATCCGTCCACAACGGTAGGTACCTACCTCATGGCTGCCACCCTTGACCCTGCAACCGCCTTGGGCTGAGTCCTCTTGGTCTCGGCGGGTCTTGCAGAACGGTGCAGTACACTAGAGGTAGGCTGGGCCAAGAGCCTGCATGAAGAGACACTGCAGTGGTTGGGACGGCCATTGAATCCCTGTACCTATCCAGAGAACTCTGCAGCGCACCTCACCTTTGAACCCTGGCCCCTCAAGATCGGGGCTGTCCCCTCTCTCGGCTGTCCCCAGTGATCCCCCTCTGCCCTCGAGGGCTAATTAACTGCCTGGTCCCCCCGTCCAATGCCATCAGTGCCGGGTGTACCAGATCGCCTGGGCTCCTGACCCACCTGCCCATGCCTCCCCATCTTTCTGTTCTCTTATCCAGGCCTCAAGATTGCGAGCGGCAGCATGTCTCGCAAGCCATGAAGCAGTTGTCATGTTGAAACCGACCATCATTCCGTGTGCGAGGATCTCGGTCATGATGTAGGTATTAGTGTACATGGGAGCCTCCAATCTCTCTCGTGGGTACTGTTGTAGTAGTGGTTTGGGAAAGCAGGGCTTAGCTGTAACTTACATGACTTTGGAAAGAAGAGTGAAATCTACCTCTAGTGTACATGAAATTCATGGACATGGTAACCGTACCACTGGGTTGTCACGCAAAGGGCGAGGGCGTCGTCTTATTTGGGGGGAGGGGAGGGGAGGGGTGTGAATGAATGGAAGACTTGTCCGATGTGAATCCCGCGTCCATCGAAAAAAGGACTCGGGCGCTGGTGGATGACTTTACGAGCAGCCATTGCAGGAGGGCGTGTGTGCTTGGGGTACAATCGATGCCCCAATGGTGGTGAGTGGGACTCGGATGTGATTTGGAGATTCTTCCAGGTAAAAAAGACGGCAAGTGGAGGTCCGTCGCGAATGTATCGATCCACCTATGCTGTGGATTGATGGACGCCCCGTCCGGTGCGGGCAGTGCGGGTACCTGTGGGGTCATTGGGGTTCAGAGACGGTGACGCTACCTCTAGAAAAGGAACGGTGCGCTACGGATAGCGCTAGTACGGATGCACGCCTCCCCAACGGTGGGTTCTAGTGGAGTGTTTACCAAACGGCGCTGTCAAAAAGAGGTTTAACCTAGTGGATTCGCCTCTAGGCTGCCATATTTCGAGAAGGAAGATCCATAAGAACCTTGCCAGAGAATGCGGGCTAATTTAGGACTCCACACCAACCACAAAACAAGATATTGCGCCCTAATTTTACCATTTATCCCGAATTACCCCTGCCAGACATCGCATCTTGACACCCTCATGAGGAGATATTTTGGGAAAAATGCGAGGGCTTGCTGCGGCTCATCTATGTTCACTACGGATGGCTTTTGACTGGATATCTGTCCACTAGCGGTGAGAAGAATGAGTCTGAAGCGTGCGGAACAAATTCTCGTCGCCTTCGTCGCTTTTTACATTCTTTGGCTGACGATATACAGGGAAAGGGTTCGGTCCCAAACAATGACAAAACCGAATATCCCTGCCTGCCATACCTTATTCCCCGGATTTCTTGCATCATGAATGGCGTGTGTACTTCCTGGCTGTAATGTAGGCTATATGTACGTACCTCTGGGCAGGCGGCCGTGCCGTAGCAGCGGGATCGCCAGCAGGTCAGAAGCCGCCTTGGGACAAGTCACGGCTCGCCGTTGGATGGACCAGGGTTAGCTGGCTTATCGTGCTGCCCAACTTCGCCAACTTGCGCCAGAAAAACTATACTTGCCTGACACCGTCGAGAAGAAAGCTGACTGGTCAGCAAATCTCAGGGGTCGAGCACCCCCCTCTCCAGGTGTTCAGGGCTCCTTGAAATGATAAAGGGTCCCAGTCTACGCCTTTGAATTGCTTAAATCCGTGAAAGCATAGGCCGTGGGCCCAGAACACCACCACTGAAGAGTAAAAACAATGTGGTTCAGGTACGCCTAGGTGGTGACCCAGATGAGTAGATCATGATAACCAATTTCTTCACATGATTAACAACTCCTGTTGGGGTACCCACTTGGCACGACATCATGACTTATAGCCTATACATTGTCCACGGTCCAACTGCTGCGGTATCGTGTTCTTGTAGATCCAGTAATATGTGGACAACTCAGAGGGTCAACATTGCCAAGGTGACGAGTCAAGACGGAAGAAGAGACGCCGCGGGCGTGTGATTGACAGCACGTCCGAAACAAGGGCCTCGTTGCGGTGCTCCTTAACTTCATGAAGATATATAGGGATCTTGATCCGATCCTGGCAATGATAGCATTATTTTTTTTTTTCTGGTGAGGTGCAAGGCACTGATGCATATTGAACACTTGATCTCGAACACGCTTGGTCTTTCCACCCACCAGCGGCCAGATTACCCAGTTCTCCAGATATTTGGCGAACTATGATTCGGTGGTAATTGTTGGTCGTTGAGCAGAGATACGGCACAGTATTGGTTTCCGTGCAACTGCAGTCCTATTCCACAGAGGGCTTTCTCTTGATGTTTTTGAAGTTCTTGAAATATCCCTCTGTTGCTGCTGGGCCATGTTGGCGCGGCCCCGATGTAACGAACAGCGAGTCGCCCTTAGGTTGTTGTCGTGTTATTCCCGACATGGCAGGACTCGTGATATGTAGCCCATGCTGGGGGCCAACGGAGTGCTCTCCGGGAGGAAAAAGATCTCTAATTGACCAATCGCGACTTTACATTAGCTTGCTTGACCTCGTAAGACCATGGGCGGCATGTAGTAGCTATACCTACTATGTATCAGCCTACCTTTCTATTCTCGCGTTCCAGTTAAAGTGGCTGTCGCACCAAGACTAATGACACCGCAAACTGGAAACCGTCGAACGTGAAGACAACACCGGAAGATTCATATTGGCACCGTTTACTTTGAACCCCGAGGAAGCGCTAGAAGTTGCGATGGGACGATTCTATTGCAATGTGATGTCGTCGAATAAATTTGTTACTGGCAAAGGATCTGAGCCTCGCGGCAACAGGTAACCCTTTCTGGTACGGCGGGGGTTGTTCAACTGCAGGCACGTGCTTTCTACATAGTAAGAGTTGGCCAAGAAATCAACTGTGTAATGGGTTGAAAATTACCAGGCACGATGAAGCTCTGTCATTGGCCAAATAACGGGCCCGCTGTTCAATGTCGATACCAGGATGTAATGGGTTAACGTACCTTTCCCCTTGCTTCCAAATCCTTTTTACGATGGATATATCCACCGTAAACACCGACAACAAAGCCAACAGTCCGAAAGTGACAACGCGCGCGCCCGGCCCGAGTTGAACTCGACGCGGACCAGTCTGACTTGGGGCAGTGGCAGTGCGGTCACCAATTTCACCACCGGGTGCATCACATTACCACTCGTGTCTTAGATCCAAGCCTGCAATCAACCTGTGGGATCAGTAATCGCCCATATTCAGGTCCTAGTCAGAGAGCTCTTGAAAAGCTGCTGAGACTCGAACCACTGGCTCCTCAGGACCGGCTTGAGACCTCCAAGTAAGTTTCTCTTCTCCCCTCGCGGTTGACCGGCCCGCGTTCTAGGCACCAGGATATCCCTCGAAGGCGAAGCAGCAATGTCTGTAGCATTCTCGCGGCAATCCACCCATGGTCTCAGGGTCATGGCTTCGAACAGCCACGATCACGCGGTTACAGCCTGTTAGGGCAAGAAACTCCAAAGACTGTTAAAATTGGGGCCAGGTTTGAGGGTGCTGGGAGCCACAAGGAGTGACACTGCTCTGAATTCCAGCTAGGACCAGCCTTCTGGCTTTTTAACCCCTTTCGGTCCAACCGCTCGGGGTCCCCTCCTAGATGGACGGAGTGCTCGTTACCGTTTTGTCTCTGTTTGCTATCTTGATGATTCCTTAAGACCAACTTTGGGGCTATTGAATGATTTGTTAATGGAAACCACCGCTAATGACAGACAACGGTGAATATTTCTTGACACTCATCAGAAGCTATCCACACCGGGTATCTACAGTCCCAGTAAACCATGCACGCAATTTCCAAGTAGTCTATCTAATGGAGCACAATCCACTTCTGTGGCACAGGCACAATCAGATCACTTGTTGACTTTGACCTATCACGAGCAGGTCCAAGTTCCCCCAGCTTAGCCTATTCCCTTGCACATTAAGGTGCTGACCCCTCTCCAACGTCGCCACCATCTTTGCCTTGGACAAGCCACGAAGTCCCTGCATTATCAAGCGTCTCCGCTACTGGTTACGGAATCTGTAGGGCTGGAATTTGGATTGTGAAGTCGTTGGGGAAGGTTCCTATAAGCACCCCGTGCCGCGTCGATAGGATATCCACGTGCGTGAAGCCCCAAAGAATGCCATCGCGCTTCTGTACTTAGTAAGGCATGGGGGCCTCTTTAACTTGCCGATTCAGTTTGTACAGAGGCAGTATTAAGGGCACCACACCCGCGTGGCTCACGGACTCTAGCGGCAACTATACACAACCCACGCCTATTATTAATCGTCTGGACTGAAATACCGCTGGCCTTCTTCGGTCTTCGTGTTCGTATCGATTCGAAAATCAACTCACCTTCTGTATCTGGGAATCATGCTCATGCTCTAGGTCTACTGAATTCGTCACAGCCTCGTGGTTCTTTTGTGCTTTCCCTATGCAATGTTTCCCTGCAGCGGACAGTTTGGTAGTGTAGACTTTGCGTTCCATCGTTCGTGTTGGCCGTTGGATGTCAGCCTAAATAGAGCGGCTGAGGGTCGGGGTTTTACTTCTTTTGCTGCGTTTCTCCATGTTGACAATGCCGAACATGCCAACTGGGCTAAAAACGGAATTTTGGTTCAAAGGGTCATCTGAGCCTGTTATGTTGGACTTGCCAAGACAAGAGAGCGAGCTTGGCGACCGACCACTGCTGCTTCTCTGTTCTCAAAAAGGAAAGCTGAGATGTTAGTTCTCGAGTCTCGTTGGGCCAAGCAGCGCGCCAGGCGGCCAACAATATTTCAGGGGTTCGGGTGAGACATCCTCAAAGAACTTCAAGGATCATAGACATGAGAGTTTTCCTGATATCATTACCCCCAGCATGAACGTTATCGACGGGCCGGCTCGGACCTTTCTCCTCAGAAGTCAGCCTCCAGTCTGGGCTTCTTAACTGCCGTGCGTCCATTAGCTCATTGTAGTGGATAGCCAAGCAAGTGTGAGCGTCCCGGATTTATACGGTTGTGGTATCCGCCCCCCTTGTCCCCTGAAGTATGCATCTAGCACACCTTCATACACACGCGGCATAGGTACAGAAAAGGTGCTGAGGCAAGATGAGAGAAGGCTTACATGACCCGTTGCACCGGGTCCGTCTTGCCCCTAACCTGAAGCATTCCTGGCCTCCGCTTACATATAGGTCGTATATCAAGCTTCTCTTTTGACAGTTTAAGGCCCTGTTTCGTTGCTGGTTGGGATATTATCCTGTTCCAAGAGGTATCAATCAGAATGAGCGCGTACTCCTGTTTATCTGCCCTCTATACAACGGGATTTCACCGGCGGGACCAAGACCTTGGTATTGGGAACAAATGAAACAGATGGTGGGGTTGCAAAAATGGTAGCCTACTATATGTCCGACTTCAGAACACTACAACACCCAAGCCGTTGCTGCATGCTGCGTGCTGCGTGCCTGAGAATGTTCGAAGACCGGGGCATAGAAGCTTCTGAAAAAAGCATTTCCCATTCCGCCTGTGGGTACTAGAAAATGTTTGCAGGGAAAGAAGAAAAAAAAAAAAAAAAAAAAAGAAAAGAAAAAAAAAAAAAAAAGAAAAAAAAAAAAAAAAACAAAGCCAAGCATGCAGGCCATGCTCCCGCAGCACACCCAAACTGGAACTCATTTGGGGAAAAGGAGATGGATGATGATAGGAGAGTCAAAACAACGCATCATACTCAAGATAGAAACTGGAATGAACATCGGACTCGCCTACATACAGGAAAGGGCGCTTGGAAGGGTATTCCAAAGACTGGGACACCAATCAGTTGGTGGTGGATTGTGTGACAGTCACAGAAAAAAGGGGGTGTTGGAGATATTTTGGCCTAATTACCCAAATTTAGCAGGTCATCCCATCCTTATTCTTGAACCAATCACCATCCACCACTAACACGCAGCAGCCTTTTGAGATCAGGGTACTTACTAGTAGCCCAAGGTGCGACACCACCTAAAGCTGGGACGAACAACAAATCGAAGCTCGCAACGGTTCTTGCCCTCCGTTTTTGGTGTCACCAAAGGAACGCATGCCTGCTCGAGTCCCTGGAACCGCAGGTACCAAGGGGTATGATACTATGTAGGTAGCTACGGGGTCTCGGTCTGGGATTGCCCGATTGCAACTGCAACTTTGTTTGTAATTCCGAAACTTTGGAGATAACCCGTAACTTTACAACAACGTTTCAACATGAAAGTTGTTGATCTCGGAGGACTTGACCAGGCCATTTGCCGACAAACGACATCCTCGCGGTGTGGTCATAGACACTGCCTGTCCCCTCGTCTATCAACTGTACAGCCATTCAAAGTGACAGACCTAAGTATCTATCTGCTACGATGTGCAATTTGTCAGCTACTGTACTGCTGAGTACATACATCGATACCTTGCTACAGTCGCAAACGTACCGTACTGCGTAACGGCAAGACGGCAACAGGACGCAAGAACGCAGCGAACAACGCACTGACAACGCCCATAGGGCTGGGCTGGACAAGTGGGCGGGCCGCCGCGTTTTCCATGTTCGTTCCTTTTCCCCTCTTTGTCCCACCCCGTCTCCAACTCCCCAAGGGCCATACCTCTTCCTACTCTCCAACTCTCCACACCCGACCTAACAAGGAACGAAGCAGAGTTGTTCGAGGTAACAAGTCCAGGGTTCCCCAACTCTGACTGTCAGTTTCCGTCTTTTGCGATGCAACAGACGATACTTGGTAGCAGGCTGTGGTACATAGGTACAAGGGGGCTGCAACAGTTATTTCCCATGTTCATTACCTGAATAATTATGATTCAGATATTGCGCCGGTTTGGACGTTCGGAAATCATACCTGGCAAAACCCACTCACTTGTCGGCTCGGACTCCCGTCCGTTTTCCCGCTCGGTGTATTTTTCATCCGTGTTCATCCAAGTCCCGGGCGTCTCAATATGCCGACCGACCGACCGACCAACCGACTGACCGGATGGCTGTGCTTGCTGTGCTTTGCTGTGCAAGGTAGGTGAGAGAGTAAGTACCGTAGAGATATAAGGCTTCCGCCAAAAGTCCTCTACGCTGCTACTAGTAGGTTCAGTACTACACTGCTACGCCAGCATGCCATTGAGAATCCGCAACCGGTCCATTTCAGTCATGGGATTTTCATTGCGGGGCACAATGGTATGCAGACAACCTTCAGATATCTACTGTCCCACGCAACGCACGAGGGGGAAAGTGACGTCGGGGTTTTTTTTTTTTGAACGTACGAGGCAAGATATTGACTGACCCCTTCGTATGAGCGGTGAAGGAAAGAACATGTTCAGCCAGATATCGCACACTGAAATGGTAGTTGAGAGCATCATGGGTGGCATTGGCGAAGATTGGACCGGTCGCGTTGCTTGCTCATATCGGAAAATAGAGGTCGGGGTTGTACACTAAGTTTACATGATAGGTATTGCTCGCTAGAGTTCAGTGATCTACAACCTCCACAGCCACCCATTTCATGGTATATACTGTGTAGTAGAATGGGGATTCGCACTACCCGTGGTATGTCGTCCACTATGACGATGGGGCGAGACATTCGAGATGGAAATCTCCAGTTTGACTTGCTGGAATACGGCTTTGAGGTTTAGTACTATTGCTTTCGAAGCTTGTATCACAGGCGGCTTCAACACACTGTGACACTGTAGCTCGAGCAATCAATCCTTCGGCGCGACGTCGATGACCATCTGCACGCTAAAGACAAGCACGGTGGGAGTTTTGATGGCCGCCGCCGTTACGCAGGTTTGCAGCGAACGTTTGGGTCAGGCAGGTTGCTGCAAAGGTAGGTCGGGGTTGTGGCGACCTGCGTAGGGCTGATGATGTCTACTTTATGCATGACCGAGTGAGTCTTCTCGCCGGCCGCCCGCGGGGCAATGAATTGCTCCGTTATGTTCTGCTGTTTCTCTCGACATCCCAACTCCAATAGTGAAGGCGGCATCTTATTTCCCCTTTGATTGTCTCTGGCGGCCGGCGGAGTGATTGACGCGCGTACGGCTGCCACCTATCTTGAAACTCTCGCAACGGAACAACAATACGGTGTCAGTCGGCATCATCGGAAAGAGTAGATGGTTGTATTAGCAATCAGAACATCTGGTATGATGTATCCATGTGCACGTATCGATACCTCCAAGCGTCAATACCTACTTGGCAAAGGAAGACGACAAAAGCGAGATAACCACCTTGTCCCACCATGAAGCGATAGCACCGTGGCACCATGCGCTAAAGGCATTGGCTGTCCAAAGACTCTATTGCCTCTGGGTAACCATGGGCGGGTAAAGAAGGACACGCAACAAGAGGCTGCCCGGGCAAGCTGGCGAATGCGAAGAGAGAGAGGGGAAAATCTTGTGAAACCACAGACATGTTTGGTCCAGTCACTCGGCAATTTCTTTGGCGACGGACCCAGAGAGATGGTGACACAGGCGGAAGGCAGGCTATGTACCACTCTGTGAGAGTAGTGTATTGCCATTACAGAGAGGAAAAGGTATTGATCGGACTCGGGAAATGTTGTATTTACAACACCATATGCACGGTTCTCGCTTTCCCGTCGCTGATTGGAGCTGCGCCGTGGGTACATTACCATCAATGTGGACATCCGGAAGCATGTGTTGAGAAACCGGCGGACCGGCGATAACCGTATCTCGACGAGCTGGGCTGGCTGGCTGGCTGGTGAATCGAAGCTCGGGTGTTTTTGTCGTTACAGTCGTATTTTTGTTCTGTGACTGCGTGTGTGATGCCGTGGGTGTTGGTTGCAGGTGCTACCGTGGTGGTGCAGAGTGGGGACATGGGACGCACTGGGGGCAACTGGGGGGCACCCGGACCCGACACTGAACCTTCCCTTGCCAAAAACCCCAAAAGTGCCCCACTCCGCCAGTTCGCGGTGGTGCAGGGGCCACTGCCAGCAAGAAAGAGCGGAGGAGCAGGGGTCCCTTCGAAATGAAGGTGTGATTGGACGAGTCCGGGCCCAGCAGTCTGTCTCTTTCACAATCCACGGATTTAACCTCTTCTTGGCATCAAGTGCGGTTTCCCTTCTGGAGACACTCCCCCATCTCCACACACAAAAAGTGAAGTTCATGATCACCACTCAGCAAAACATCAGCACGCCATCCATCTCTGGTCCCTTGATCGACGTCTTCATGCTGGACATCCACGACCGGGAAATCAGGTGTTGATTTTACCCCATACGCTGGGAATATGTAGCGCCATGTTCACCCCCGGCATGCTTCAGTTCAGAGCAAAACGAAAGGCAAGTAAGTAGCCAAGGGGTGTGTCATCAACCTCCTGATTTGTAATTGCAACTTCTATAACCTCTCTTCCTGGAAAGAGACATCCGTTCTGGTACCGAGGAGATGAAACAGCTCCCTTCTCCGAGAGTAACTTCGTTTACAGGTCCTGTTACGGTAGGATACGGTCAAGGTTATCTATCGGACTTTATCCCGCTTCGAGGAGCAAAGGGACAAACACTAGAGCGAGCGAGC